ATATAAAGATGGTCTCAGGACATGTTTGGAAAGGATACAAGTCACAGGTAGAACAGTTTACTAAGAAACTGCCTCTGAAATGATTTACGTTTTTTTTTTGTAATTGCCATAGTGGGAGTGGGGTGGAGTCCAGCTGGGTCCACTCGGCACATCGGCCACTGATTGGTCTATTGTACCTGCCTCGGATGATTATGATGATGGAGAATTTGGTGGAATGAAGATTGGCTGGGGAAATCGAAGTACTCGGAGAAAACATACCCCAGCGCCACTTTGTCCACCACAAATCCCACTTGACCAGACCCAGGATCGAACCCGGGCCGCCGCGGTGGGAAGCCAGCGACTAACCGCTTGAGCTAGGGCGCGGCCTATGATTTACGGTTTGTTTCAGAATCATTTAATAAGCACCGAAGCTTGGTAAAGAAATTACGACCTCTAAGTATTCGAATTGTACTGTAACATCAATTTGACAAGTTGTCACATTACCGTGTTTGCGTCTTTCTCTCACTGTAGTAGTTGTCTCGCGTGAATGTAATGTGTCTGACTCCCGCTAATGACTGTACATGCTATTTTATTGAAACATGTCTGTTGTCAAAAGAATTTAATTTCATAGAAATAAATAGAGAAATGGGTGTAAGCAATTCAATGCAACGTATTTCATGTTAATTATGTTCTTGTATTTTTACTCCGTATGGATGTGGCCGCTACCAGATTTTCTGAGAAGCAGTGTGTCTGGAACGGGGTTCACTCAGCCTCATGAGAATAATTGAGGAGCTATTTCAAGGGAATAGTGGCTCCGGTCTAGAAAACCGAGATTAACGGACGTGGGGATTCGTTGCGCTGATCACGTGACACCATCTATCCACTAAAGTTGGCACTTACTTCGTCGACAAGCGGCGGTCGCTCGGTCGGTATAGTTCGTTTGCGGACTACAGGCCACAGAGTTCTTTTTATGGATGTGGGCAATGTTTCCGACGTTTCAACATATATGTTCCCTATATCTTCGTCGTCGACCCGAAAGATTGAGGGAGCATATACTTCCCAGACGTTGGCAAAAATTCCCACATCCATAAGTGGTACCAACCCATTAACACAATAAACATCAATAGTTAACTACCGTGAAAGCGTAGAATAAGTAATAACAATTTTAAAAAATGAAACTTCTTTTAGGAATGTACTGTAAGCCCAGTGCGTGAAAGTCCAGTTTATTCTTTGTCGTGTCTGTCCATTTGGACACGTGTATCGGCCGCCATGTTCATGAAAGGATTTTGAAGGAGGGATTCTTGTTAAAATTCGAATCATATTTGTTAGTCATGGCTACCACTTCGCTTGACGACGTAGACGAGGTTTTCGAAATATCTCGTTACATTTTGACAAACATTTCAAGGGGCAATATTTATATTATTCTTCGAGGTAAATATTTGTCTTAACCCATGCGTAGACAAACTACTCCTCCAGAGACAAAACCGATCGTGAAACCATGTAGTTTTCCTTAAAGAACAAACTTCATGGTTAAGTTCAAGTACAGCTTTCACTGACATCAATATGTGAGGATCAGTATTCCCAAATAACTCTTTCCATGGAACAGATATATTCTTGATAAGATGATAGACGCTCAGCAGGTCAAGAATTTCTCCTCCTTTTATGGTAAATGCTGTCTCTTTAACAGGCCGTGAAGGCCCATAGGGTTGTGAGACGTCGAAGCTCCCACATTTTCTCTAGACAGTTGGCTCATAAATGGGGGTAAGGTTGTCAGCCTTACGCTCCGGGCGCCCTTTATCCCCCAGGAAGATTCCTGGTACTCATTTATGTTAGAGGCTGAGTCGACTCAAGGACCATGGTGCACCTGGAAGTGTTAAGTAAATTCAAAAATCCACCTCGTCGGGACTCGAACCCCCGACCTTCCGGCTTGTAGCGTAGTGCCTCAACCAACTACGCTACCGCGTGCTCCCCCTCATTTTATAGAATGGAAAGACATTAATTGCCGTGTCAACTTTTTACTTTGCTCCATTGAAATCTTTCCATGATAGCAAATTTCTTTCTGTCTCTGTCACTCATGGGAGCACGCGGTAGCGTAGTTGGTTGAGGCACTATGCTATAAGCCGGAAGTCCGCGTGTTCGATTCCCGATGAGGTCATTGGATTTTCAGTTGACCTAACCCTTTCATCCGCACTATGGCCCTGGGGTCGACTCAGCCTCCGACAGAAACGAGTACTAGGAATCTTCCTGGGGGTAAAGGGCAGCCGGCGCGTAGGGCTAACAACCTCAGAACCATCTGTGAGTCGACTGTCTAGATAATATGGGAACCTCAAAGTCTCACAACCCCGTGCGCCTCCACAGCCTGTTATAGGGACAGCTTTACCGTTACCTCTCTCATTCATCGTTTCTTTTGTACAATCCGCATAATCATGTTTGTATTCTGGGATGTTGCCTTCAAGTAGCCCAGGAGAAATCTACCGACGTTTCGGAGGAACATAGTGCCTGTATCTTCAAAGCTGAAGAATAAGCCAAGCATTCCCAATAGGTCTTTATTACGTGGTATTTGCTTAAGCATGACAACCTTGAGCCTGCCCTTTGCCTTTCCTTTGAAAGCGGAAAAATTATGGGGAAATATACACAATTTTTTGTTTTTAGTATTTGAGATACAGCGAGTGGGTTTTGAATACCTGGTCTGTCGAGGGGATGTATGTTTGTATGTGTAAGAGAGAGAAGAAGAGGGAGCACACTAGAAGATCAACTATATGAACTGGTAAATGAAGCAGACCTCATATCAAAAGAACCGAATGTCGGAATTTAGTTTCCCAGTGCATGATGTATTTTGCTGAATAAGTCTGCATACATGTTGGGTGTTACAGCCCACAAGTGCGCTCTTAAGATCGTGTCGCTAGGAAGTCAAGAGTATGTAAAAATCGAGTGGCCATTATGTTGTTTACATTTCATATTTACTTGTTTATTTTATTTATGTGTGTGGGGTTACTTTTAACGAATCTGTCAGAATCTAGACTATTAAACGTCTAATAGATTTAACTCCTTTGAGCAAGCCCCGTTTTAGAGCATTGCATCTGAATACAAAAGAGTTTTATAGCGGGAATATGCATAATTTCTGCACGGATCCCCTTCTAACAATACTGTGATTGTAACCTTGAAATATTTCACGGATCACATCCCAGCTAATGATTTTTTTATTCATTATTCATAACCGTCTTATTAGCGTCACTAATATCCACAAATTTCGGAGGACATTATGCATAAATTATGTTAATATAATTAAGAACAGAATACTGACTCCTCGTTGGATATAAGAACAAAGTAACTTATTTGCAATGTATTACAACTTTCAGAGATATCGCCGAAGTGTTTAGAATGCAAAGCTCCTCTGCAAGTCACGCTGAAAATGTTTGTCCAGTTTCTACGTACAGTTATGTACTCTGTTCTTGATACCAAATATAGTTATGTAGTGAATACCATAACGCTTGGAACTCGAAGGAAAGAAATAAAGAAAGAAACTAAAGAAAAGAAAAAGAAAAATCATGTGACTAAATCCAAAAGTATTTTTTCTCCTTGTTTTTTTTCTCTCTCTCTCTAGGCTAAGCTTCCTTAGGGAGGAGCCGGGATAGCTCAGTCGGTATAGCCACTGGCTACAGGCTGGACGTGATGAGCCGGGATAGCGCAGTCGGTATAGCGACTGGCTACAGGCTGGACAGAGGAGTCGGAGTTCGAGTCCCGGTGGGGTCAATAATTTTCTCTTCTTCACGTCGTCCAGACCGCTTCTGGGGTTCACCCAACCTCCTATCCAATGGATACCGGCGCTCTTCCCCGGGGGTTAAAGTGGTCGGGGCGTGAAACTGACCACTCGCCTCCAGCTAGTGCCGAGTTCAAGAAAATGTGGATCTATACATTTACTCCACCATACGCCTTCATGGCATACTGCTTAATTAGTTAAGAGAGGGACAACTTTATCTTTAAGCTTCATTAGGGTTTTCTCTGTTACTTCATGCAGCTGTCGATAAGCGATTTACGACTTTAAAAGTATGTTACAATCGTTTCATCTTTCAGTAGGCAGATTCGCGTAAGGCAGTCTGTCTCTTGTATGGCTTGTTCCGTTGCCACGTGACCTCAATAGCCGAACGAGAGTTTAAGAAACCTCAAAACATCCAATTCTAAAAAATCAGTAGGAAAAGTCTGAAGGAAATGACCGTTGTAAGATTTCGTGTATTTTTTGTTTGTACTTTAATAACAACGAGCCGGGATAGCTCAGTCTGTATAGCGAAGGGTTGTGGGCTAGACGGCCGGAGTTGTGCTCCCGGCAAATGCAAGAGATTTTTCTATAGTTGACAGCGTCCAGACTGGCTCTGGGGCCCATTCAGCCTCCTATTCAGTGTTTACCGTGTCTATTGCCCCCGAGGTAAAGAGAGCGGGGCGTGAAGCTGATCGCTCACTTCCATCTAGTGCTGATGTCATGAATGGTAGAACTATAAGCACACTCTCTCCCGTGTCTTCGTAGCCCGGTGTTTAATTAAGCACTAGGAGAACTTTCCCTTTATTGTATTGTTCAGTTTATTTACTTATAAAGGTAAGGTAAAGTGATCCCCGTGCTTATTATGGCGTGTGGGGGGAGTGGCTGTATAGATCCACATTTTCTTGACCTTGGCACTAGTTGGGGTTGAGTGGTCAGCTTCACGCCCCTGCCGCTTTACCCTCGGGGAAAGAGCCCCCGGTATCCTTTGGATGGGAGATTTGGTGGACCCTAGAACCGGTCTGGACGACACGGAGAAGTGAATATTCTTGCCCCCACCGGGACTCAAACTCCGACCCGTAGCCAGTCGCTATACCGACTACGCTATTACGGCTCTTATTATGTACTTATAACAGAGTAATTTAATATGGTTAGGTGCCGACCTTACACCTCGATATACTTGCTCGGGAAGCTATAGTAATGATGTGTAAGAAACTTTATGAATATAAACGATATGGCAACCCCGCGATCTCTCTCTGTGTTGCAGTGCAGTGGTCGACAGAGCCGTCTCAGAAAACCGGTGTGTTGCTGGCCCGCTGGAATTACAGACAGCAAAGAGGCAAGCAGAATCGGTGTAGACCGCTAGTGACGGTGGAAGACAGAGACTTGCGGTCAGCTCTCGTGTTTACGTGTGTTGTGTTTGCTTCCAACTGGTGTGACAATTAACGTGATGATACCATGGCTAGTGTCAGCCGGACTGACAAGAAGTCCGGTATTGGTGGGGGTGGAGGACCCTTTATGTTCATCAGAAGTCGCGGCAGCATCAGGAAGGAACTGAAGCGACAACAAAGGCAAGTGAAGTAATCAAATTTGACAGCTTGGTTTGTGTACGGTGTACGAAGTTCTCTGTACATTTCCCTTGTTGAGTTATAACCACAGGTGATCGTTCTTTGTGTAGACTTAATTTATATTGTTTCATGCATTTTTGGATGTATACTGACAGAAACAGGCGTATAAACCTGTTTTAAAAATTCTCCTGCCTCGGTAATGTTAAGCCAGGACCAGTTTAAACATATTCATCAATAGCTGTATCGTGTCATCGGCCTTGTGGCCGCTTGATTCAGTTTATTTTCTCTGTAAAATTATTCAGAGTGTTATATTAAGATAAATAAATAGTTGAAGAAAGCAGTCTTCTGGGATTTGGCACCGTGTATATGTGGTGTTAACCGACGTTTCGGAGGAACGTATCGCCTCCATCTTCAGGGTAGAAGAAAAAATATATAAGAAATCTGCAAGCGAAGAGACCGTGAGAAACGGTAAAAGCAGTCTGCTTTCTCACGGTCTCTTCGTTTGCAGATTTCTTATATATTTTTCTTCTACCCTGAAGATGGAGGCGATACGTTCCTCCGAAACGTCGGTTAACACCACATATACACGGTGCCAAATCCCAGAAGACTGCTTTCTTCATAGTCACGGCCGTGAAAGCCTCAAATCTTAAATAAATAGTTGTTTTCTATTTCAGTGTGTAGCTTGCCATTTCGTGGAAAAGTCTGTCCGTTATTCTAATAAAACTAGGCATGTGTTACCGATTGCCGATCAGTGTTACGAAGATGTTCGAAAGCGTACTGACCTAACAGAAAGATATGTATATTAATTTAATATATGTGTTTTAAAGTATGACGTTATTTTATATGAAAAACTTAATTATTTTTTCTTATTTTCAAAACTTACGTACAATCGTAGGAAATAACCTTGAATTCGTATATTTGTTATTACTAAGTAGGAGTATATGTAGCCCTGACGATGACATCGTAAAGGTCTAAATATGACGGGAAAATTATGAATTTAAACTAATTACAAGAAATTGTGTTGTAATTGACTGTGCTGTAATAAAAAATAGCGCTATGGATTACAACGGTGCACAATCCTATGTAAAAATAGGTACATGTGCTGTTGAAGTTCTCCCTCTTCGGCAAATTTACGTCATGTTCAAAGTTATTGTAACGGTAATATCATGTCATCGCTCTGAGTGTTACATTCAGACAGAATGGCAGATACTTGTTTTAGGATTACAAAGTACAATGTTCCAATCGTTTCAGCGAATGAAGATTACAATTTCGAGGGAAAAAAAGTCACCGCTGTTCTAATAAAATTATCATCTGTTGCCAGTCAGATGTGTATTATGTTACGAAAATTTATGAATACATTATGACGAAACAGGAAGAAGTATTCGTTTTTAAACTACCTCCCCCCACCTCCCGCAATAGCACACGTTCTTTCAAGGTTTTATAATAGCGCTGACGTGTCAGCGTTCTTCCTGGCTGTTATCTTAATTCGTTCTGAATATTACGTTAAGATATCTACATGAATTGTGTCTATCGACAGTCTAGGAACAGACACAGAATGTTTAAGGAGCTGCATCTTCTGCAGATCTCAGATGAAAGGTACCTAATCACTTGGTTCCCTTAGAAAATGATAGCCCCAATTGCTCGATCACAGTTATGGAACATAAAATCAATAAACTTGGGCCCAGTGGTTGTATTTAACTCTTTGTAAAGGAATCATCAGAGCAGGTAACCCTAACCTGAGCATGGGAGCGGATCAAGGTCCCGAAATATTGCTCTTGTTTTTAGGATATTGCATGAGGGGGAAAACATGCAGGAAACTGATACAAACAAGTGTAACACTTTCAGCAGTGCTCTCTAGTGTTCGTTGCTGCATGTATTCTCATCATTACGATATCCTTAAGGGGGAGTGGATGTATAGACCCATGTTTCCTTGACCTCGGCACTAGTTGGAGGTGAGTGGTCAGCTTCACGCCCCTGTCGCCTTACCCCTGAGGAAGGGGCCTACGGTACGCATTGGCTAAGAAGCTGGGTTGGCCCCAGAGCCGGACTTAACACTGTGAAGTAGAGGAATAACTCTTTCCCCTTCGGTGTATCGAACCCCGGCCGCGAAACCTGTAGTCTGTCGCTATACCGACTGAGCTATCCTGGCTCATAGCAGCATCCACTAATATAAGCCAATTAGAGAGTTCAGACTGAAACTTCCGCACTTCATGGTGCAGGAAATGAAGCCTGTCCACATATTTAATGTTTACACAGTCAGTGTTTCGCAAGGTGTCTCAGTGCCCTCCTGGTTAATGCTGCAGAAGCTGTTTCCATAGTCTTTCGTCAGTCATTCTGTCCAAACGGTTTATCCAGTTTTGTTCATTTTCATCAATTATATATATATATATATATTCAGAATTTTAAACGAGGAAATTATCAGCCTTTTTATAGTCTAATTGCAGACATATTTAGATATAAATTATTAAATACGTTACGCAGTTAAAATAAGCTAATTGGGACGCGAATACAGAAGTTGAAGTTTTGTTCTATGTATATTTACTTATAATGATAATTAGTAACACCTATCGAAATTTAATCAACTGAAGATGTGGCCTTATTTCATTAAAAGAGAAAAAGCTATCCCTGTAACAGGCCGTCAATGCCCATAAGGTTGTGAGACGTTGAGGCCTCCACATCTTCTAGATAATCGGCTCACAGATGGTGGTAAGGTTGTCAGCCTTACGCGCCGGCCGCCCTTTCCCCCCCCCCCTTGGCACTACAGCCCCAATGGGCCTAGGCCTACCTCCATGAACTCCGCGGCCGCCCTTTACCCCCAGGAAGATTCCTGATACTCATTTCTGTTAGAGGCTGAGTCGACCCCGGGGCCATAGTGCGGCTGGAAGAATTAGGTAGACTGAAAAAAAAAAATCCACCTCATCGGGACTTGAAACCTCGACCTTCAAGCTTGTAGCATAGTGCCTCAACCAACTACGCTATCTCTTGCTCACCTGCCGTTACTTTCAATTTCCAAAATCCAAGCTTCATCCCAGCGTACCCTATGAACCACTTCACAGGAATGTTGGGTTAATTTTGATTTTTCTATAACACCCTCTTTGAGATTGTGCATATGCTCACGGAGCCACACGGCTCTAGTTTTTTGGAAATCGAACGATGAATAAATTCAAAAAAAAAAAAAAACACCATTAAGTGTTGTACACCATCGTCTCAGAAGCCTTTAGAATCCACTTAAACTTATAGTAGTTTCATTATAAGATGTTATGCATTTACATGAGAAGTCCATTGCAGCCACTAGCATACCAGACACACCGACAAACCTGCAAGGAGAGGCGTGAAACTTGTATTCCTTTAACGGTCTGGCTAAGTGTGTGACCTGATGGAGTTACCTCTGTTCAACGACGCACTTGGAAGCAACCGTTGAAGGCTATTGTCACTTGGAATTATTATAGTTATCAAGTCAAGGAGGATGAGTTGGGCGGGGCATATGTTGTAGCACGCGTGGAACAGATGAGTAAAGAGTAAAGGCAAAGCAGTGCCTGTGCTTAATTAAGCACCACGCCATAACGACGGATGGGGAAGTTGACGTATAGCTCCACGCATACTTAACTATGGCACTAGATTGGAGTGAGTGGTATGCTTCGACCCCCCCCCCAACCGATTTATCATCTGGAAAAGAGACCCTGGTGATAAGTGATATGGCTCTGGCCCGGTCTTAGAGCCGGTATGTACTCTATGAAGAACAAATGATATATAACCCCTGCCGGGAATCGAATCTGAGTTACTTGGCCGTCCCGCTCTTAGCCAAATCCCTATACTGTTTAATTCCTGTTCACTTGAGTAATGTGTGTAAAAGTGTAATATGTAAATCTCAAGGTGAGACCAACCACATGCAAAACCTCGACATAGATGGAAAGATAATATTAAAGTGTGAGATTTTACGTTCTCACTAAAGAATTACTGTATTAGGCCACGACCCCTTCCCCATTAATTCCCATTCATTAATCATCCTCCATTAGGGGCTATAGAATTAGTTGCTAATTTTTTTCTCCCTTGGCACTATAGCACCAGTGGGCCTAGGTCTACCTCCATGAACTTCTCCATTCACTTCGGTTTTTTCTGATCTTACACATTCGGTAGGACTCCTTGGGCGGGTGATCAGCTCGTCGCAAGGCTGTACACAAACACAGAAAAATGCATACACAAAAACTAAACATTATGCCCTGAGTGGGATTCGAACCCACGAACCCGGTTTCCAAGCGAGCGAAGACAGTACATGCCTTAGACCGCTCGGCTACAGTGACCGGCTTAGTTGTTAATAGCTTCCATAAATAAATAAACAAGCTGACATAATTACGAGAAGTTTGGCATAGCGGAAAACTATTATTTGCGAGGTGATCGATTCAGATCTAAGTCAAGATATCTATTATCCTGGGTGACGATTTTCGTGCCTGTCCTCAGTCCCTCCAGGCAAATGTCAACATAGTACCTCGAGTAGCCTCTGTGGTCAAGTGATCAGAGTTTCTGGCTACAGATCCAGAGATCTCGGGTTCGATTCCCGACTCTACCAGATTTTCTGAGAAGTAGTGGGTCTGGAACGGGTTCCACTCAGCCTGGTGAGGATAATTGAGGAGCTATTTCAAGGAAATAGCGGCTCCGGTCTAGAAAACAAATTGACGGCCGTAGGGATTCGTTGCGCTGACCACGTGACGCCCTCTATCCGCTAAATTTGGCACTAACTTCGTCGACAAACGGCGGTCGCTCGGTCGGTATAGTTCGCTTGCGGACTAAAACCACGGAGCACCTCCAAATCCTTCCTGATTTCAACGTTTATCTGTCATTGTACCATTAAACGGTATATGGTGTGAGATATTTGGGAGCGGCCATAAATCAAAACCAGATTCAGGAGGAAATTAAGAGGAGATTGAACTCGGGTAATTCTTGCTACCATTCAGTCCAGAACCATTTGTCTTCTCGCCTGCTGTCTAA